GTAATAGAAAAATATGAGGAAATTTATGTATATCGAAACATGCCTGGGAATTCAAATCATTGAAGCCCAGTCGTTCTATCGCCCATCTAGCATAGGAGAAGAAGCCAGTTGATATTTTAGATTCGTTAGAGACCATCCTTTTTTTGAAAGAGGATTCTTCAATAGTTGTGGTGCCAGCCGATGAGCTTGGATTTATCAAACTTGAGGCTGAGCTCAAGAAATTTGGGGATAGTGGTTGAAGCGGAGGGGGAGTCGAAACAAGCCCGGAAGAAATCTGGGGGGTCGATGCAGGAGTACAGTGTAGGCTTTGCGAGATGGTTCCTTCAAATGGGCTATCTAAACAAGACATTTCTGAAGTCTGAGCAATGGACGATTTAGCAGCAAGAAATGAAGGCTTGGAGCCAGCGGAGACGCCAGCGTAACTCTTAGTGATCTGATGGAACCTTCGTTGGCGCTTGCATCTGCCTACTACCCAGGTATTAGGCGGGCGTCGCAAAATCTCCTTTGCCGGCAAGCGGTCTAATAACAGCTGCTGCAAAAGCACCCGGTAAACCATACTAATTGGCAACAGACCCATCTTGGTAGTGGCATCCTCCCCAACGCCGTCGTAGGCACAAGCATGAATTGTGTCGCCGGTACCAGAAGAGTCAGATGACAGGATGATAAGGTTTTTCTTTGCAGCATCCACTACAGCTGTTTTAAGAATAGCTTGATGTTCATTTAGCTTCGACTTGCTGATCGGCCTAGAAGCTTGGCCAACCATCTGAACAGCCCTTGGAGATAGGAAGTAAGAAGGGTCCCCCAGAATAGCACCACATCCTTGTTTATCTGTTCTTTTGTCTGCTTCTACCTGAAACGTATCAGGAATTAGGTCAGAGCTGAGCTTGCCAAGCTTATTAACACTGGCTTCAGGGTCGATAGAAAAGCAGTTGAGCTCAACCCGGGAAAGACTGCTAGTGATTGGAAGATCGGTTGGACAGAAGCACATCTGATCAGAGGACAGTGAACCATGTATCGATGAGGTCGCCTGTAAATGATGGGCCAGGGCCAGGCGCTCTACAGACTGGCTGGCAAGGACACGAGTGTTCCTTCCAAGCCTGAAATCCGGATATTGAGACTTTATCCATTGGCTCATTGGGAAATCAGATAAAAAAGAGGTTGAATTGCAAGCTATAATCGAAAACGAAAATATTTATTATCAACGGTGAAGTAGGTGTAAATTAGTATCTTTATAAACCGAGAAGAATGAAGGCATAAAAGAAATATGGATAAACAAACTAATAAATAATATG